AAAGAAGATCGCAACACTAAGATCTGGAGGGGACGTTTTACATGTTACTTCCAGGCCAGTAACAGGAAAGAGAGATCAGCAAAAGGTATGTTTGGGGGACTCCCTCCCCTCTACCTGTAAGCACCCGCCATGCTCATCCTAAGTCTATAAGTTTTGGCGGTTCAAAAACACCTGAAACGCATTGGATAATCTTTGGACTGTTCCCCTGACTTTGACTGGAATAATGTTGTATCTGGACCTCCTAGCAGTGGTGTGGCACTTCAATTTCCATTTTTGTTATATTAGACTACAAGCAAGGAAAGGATTATTTGCATCAAAATCAATACTTTAGGATAGCAATACCAATAAGATAGCCTTATGGGTCCAATGCTATTTTTTTCACAACTATCCTGCCCTGTGTGACAGAGCTGTCTAAATCTTAGAATGGCAAAAAATACAAATCCTTTTCCAGGTAAAAACTGTAACGATTGTGTGCAATAGAGACATGGAAGCTGGACGCAACAGCCATCTTGTGAGGGTCTCATGAACAGTGTTCCTACTCCCCCCCCCCCCCCCCCCCCCCTTTGCAAACTATGGAATTTGTATCTGTAACTTTTAACAAACTTCAAATGAACCTCTTATCTTAAATAAAACACAAATAGACACAGTGTTCAGACTGCTTCAGGGCTGTAAACAGCTAATTAGTCTTGGCAGGGTGTCTCTTTCCACAGACCATGAAAACACTTCCCTCTGCCCTATCGTAAAACAATAATAATTCAATCAAGCCATCACACATGACCTATAAGGCCATTAGACCTCTAGGAATGTAGAGCATGCCATAAAACATCTATTCCACATGTAACAATTCCTCATACAATTCATAGAATTCAACAGGAACTGGGCACATTAATATTAGGTATATATTTGAATAGCGAATATAGTACCGAGCAAATCAAGGTCATACATAACTATGTTAGCACATAAGAAAGGGTAGAAAGCAGTCTCTTCCCTCCTGGGTGACAAGGTACGATGTATTTGGTATCCCCGAGTTCAAAATATAATTCTGAATAATAATCTGCCAATTGCTAGAATACCACCTGCACATATTGGAAGTTGTTAATATTAGTATGAAACTGTAGTTGGGACTTGGTTATAAATTTGGTGGACTCTGCTAAAACCAACGACTTTGCAAGTATTCTGCCTTCTTAACTCCTTTCTTTTCTATCTCTGTTGCTTTATTGTTCTCTTTATTTCTTTGTAACATCCCTTTCTGTAAATATTTTCATTGCACCATTTGACCTTTTCATTAATAAACCCTATTTTGAAAAGTGTTAAAACTATATCTAAGGCTTTTAATGCAAACTAAAGCATCCCTGTCTCTTGAAGAGTGCTACCGTATAAAATAATCCTCTGAATATACTTGTCTACGGTGACAGTGTGTGTTACAGACATTTATTGTTCACATCAGTTCTTGCTAACATTGTAAAGGGTTGATAGTCCCAAAGCTATCTGGAGGCAGTTTGGATTTTGAAGGGTTAATCGCATAATTAATTAACCCAGTGACAATCGCTCACAGGCTGCTGGCACATAAAGTGTGGTCCCACGAGCTGGAAAATCTTTATGCAGGGCGCAGCTGAGAGTGGCATTGTTACACAAGTGAAAGCGCAGTGTGAGACTGGCAAAAGTCAGGCACCACGTTCGTCACAAAAATGCCTATACTATACATTCTTCCTTTGAGTATTTAGCAATTTGCCTGGTAATCAGATTTAATGAAATTGAGGAAAGTACCTCTAACATGGGACAGTTGGTAATTATAATATATGTATATTTATACACACACTTAGTGTATCGCCTGTTTTCAGAGTTTAGTTTGGTAATTAATGTGTTTATCACAGCAGGAACAACATGCTATTAATAATAGATGTAAAATACTGGCAGAAGGGACAGCTGGAATTCTTGGGAAAGGTGTATCCAGGAATCAGACAACAAACACTAGCCAGATGGAACAAGACAATGAACAAACAATTACAAACAATCTAGTTTTTTGTGTGTGATAATTCTATATATATATCTATATATCTATGACAGGTTCTCTTATAAACAGAGGTGTATTATAAAGCTGCAGCCTGGGACCCTGACGTGCACATGATGCTCTTCACAAAAGTGAAAATAAGCCCAAAGTGAGGCTTGAAGCATTAAAATAGTTGGTATAATGATTATGATACAATTTATCAGGTGATAATACACTAGTGCAAAAAGAGGGGCTAACATCTACCTTAATATCTAACAAAGTTCATGATAAAATTTGATTCCCCACTGCTATCAAATCACTACTTATAGAATTATACCATCACGACAACAACAGAAGAAAGCTTTTGTGTACAGTAAATTCAAACTTCAATTTGAACTACTGTGCACTGTATCTGAGCACCACAAACTAAAAAACACTACTTATTTCATATTTAATATTCAAAGCAAACTCCTTCATCTAGGTTTGCTGAGAAATCACTTTGAAAAACACCCCCTAGAATTTCTGGCCGTGGCCATTTTGAGATTCAGGTAGCATTTACTTCCTGGAATCCATCTGACCTTAGCTCAGGCATGCAGGCAGGAGGGTGTGCTTAGCTGAGAAAACCTCTCCTCCCCTCCTGAAGACTCCTGGAATATACAGTATGACTTAATTTCCTTAGGCATGGAAACCAGGAAGGAACTGAAGAAATGTAAGAAAAAAAAAGTTTCAAACATGTAAATATTAGTCAATGTTAATTGAGAGAGTGAAGTTCCACTTTCAGTAGCTAATTATAAATTTGGACAGATTCTAAACGTTCTGGGAAAAGAGGACGATCCAAGTAACAATCTGAAAGATTAGTCTGTGCAGATAACTGGGATGAAATGTGCTGTCTATAACTTTTAAGGCTGACAGATATGCCTGGATGATACAAACATTTGGTTTTCGTACTGGTGACCCCTGCAAGATCCATGTGTACTATCCAAGTCATTTGCACCTGGCCATGGGGGCATTGATTGCACTGTATGCTTGCTTAGCACAATCTTATACAGCTCAAACCAAAAACTAAAATGGGTAGGGTGGTTCACAAATATTTGGCTACCACAAGGTAAGACAGTGACAGATTTTAAAAATTTTAAAAATGCCCTTTACTATGTTAATAACATATTGTAAAAATGGTTACAGAGAACAGAAAATAATGATACCTACTATTGCTGGATCTTGCCAATAAGGCTCGGTTGACTAGTACTAGCTACATTTTTGTATTTATTTATTTTAAGAGATATGGACTGAAGTAGAAGTAAGATTTGCTTCAGCAACAGCATTATATCCATGGAAGCAACCAATGATAGCCTAGGAAAGTAAGCAGAATTGCTTGCTGGAATTAAAAGAAATTCATAGACTTGCCATGTACGGGACAGTTTTTGAAATATGCAACTAATATTTTTTAACAAACAGCTTTAAGGCTAAGTTCACACACGTGTTTTGATGTGGGTCTCGTGTTTGCGCAGACACAGTAGCCCATTCATTTGAACGGCCTGCAAGAAACACAGGAAAATGGTCCCTGTACCTTTTTAAAATTTTGCACCATGCAGTTTCCCTCACTGGAAAACTTGCTGTATTTGGCAGCCTGGGCATATCTGCTAAAAAAGCAATGTTCTTTGCCTGCAGATGAGGGTGGATAAAAATCGATTTTTTTTTTTTTTAAATCGGTTTTCTTTTTAATTTTTAATCAAATCTATTTAAAAAAATGCTTTTGGAGTAAAAATCTATCTAAAGATAGATTTCTATTTAAGATACATTAATAATTTAGTTTATACAGCATGACATGGAGCTATGTTATGTAGCATGAGGCTGTATATTCTGCATTTGGTAAACTCATTCAATGAATCCAAGCTCTGCAAGCATTCACACAATTCACAGTAACTATGAAAAAAGACATGAAAAAAAAGAATTTGAGTAGTTCTCCAGCTATGTGTGATTAACCTATTAACCTAAAATCGGTTCTGATATCGCCGTTTTAATAAGCTGACAGCTTATTATTCTAAAAAGGAAACCTTCATTTGGTTTGCAAATATTAAAGATTCTAACTACCAGCAAGAATGAGTCGGATTCTTTACATTCAAAGAGCACCTGTAATTTTAGATCCATCATGGCAGCGCCTGTTAGCGGGCATCCACTCACCTGCTACCGCCACGTCCCTCACCTTGTTGTGTCACCGCTGCATCACCAGCCATCCCATTAAAGTGAATAGGACTGTTAGCGAGTCAAAAGTGGGTCAAATGAGGAGCCACTGCAGGACAGAGATGACAGTTGCTCTTTAAAAATTATATGACTTAAATCGAGCCTTTTCACTAGTAATTTAAATCGTGATTTAAATCAACTTGATTTAAATCATATCCACCCTGCTGCAGATACAGGAATTCAAAGATTTACATGAATTCCTGCACCCACAAATATGTGAACTTAAAGCATTAAAGGCTAAAACATTCTAGGAAGAAAAACAAGCTGCCATCAGAAAGCAGATAGGGTACAAATTGTTTCTTAATTCTTTTCACTGGTAGGCTCTTCATTAAAACCTGAAATAAGGACCCACTTTATGATCAAACTTTTTTGGTGCAAAACAGATATTCAAAAAGTAGTCTGTGTTCAGGGCCTTCATCTGCATAGTACCACTCAACCCTCCTTCCACAGCCTACCGCAGTTTGCCATATACTTTGACAGGCTTCAGGCTGTGGGGATGGATGCAGCATCTGTGCCTCCGGGGTGCACTAAATCACCAAATTTGCATGCACAGCAGCTAGACCCCGTGTGGAAGGTGTCTTATGCTTTGCTTTACTTCGATTTGCTGAAGTGGCCTACTCTGGCTATGACAAAATAAATCTACATTAGTGTTGCTTGTGATCTTCTATCTGCACAGGTATTATTATGTAATGTGTAAGGTAACCAGAAAATGCTTCATCCTGTTGTACAATTAAGATGTCTAGCTTATTTTACCATTAGAAATCATTACCTTCTTCATCAATCCATTTCATGGTGAAGAGCTGTTCATTGTCAAAGGAGCACATGTCTCGCACCTCATTACACAGCCCCATCGTAGGTGATGCTGGGGTCAAAATGTGTAATCATGATGTCTCTGAGGAAAGAACACAGAAGGTGTCAGGCCACAAACAGCCAAAAAATTGAATATTTTGACCAAAACCAAACAATATGGACTAATAAAGACTGTCTACCATTTACTGTATATTGTAATATGAAGACTGTGAAAAATCTATTTCTCAAATTTGTTTCTATAATTTTAGCGTCCATTTCTGAGGATATACGTTTTATCGTTATGTAATTACCATTACTCATTCATACATCAGTTGACAATGGAAGTGGGTGCTTGGGTAGCATTTAGAATTCAGGCATATTTCAGGAGGTCAGATTATTTGACAACAGAAACAAATTATATTGTCAAAAAGAAACAAACGCCTTCAAAATGAATTAAATAATGAAAAAAAATACAAAACTGGTTGTGCAATCCCCTTCAAAACAGTATTTCCCATTTCCTCTTGCAAAACTGCTCAAGCTCCGTCAGGTTGCACAGGGATAGTGAGTGAACAGCTTTTGAGCCGTGTACATGTGCTTTTTGTTCATGTCACAACTGCTTTTCTCCCCATACAAGTCAATGGGAAAGCAAACACAGCTTGATGCAACTTAGAAGGTAAATACAAGTGAGAAGATGATCAAAAACACCTACAAGAAACTCAGAAGCATCTCAAACTAAACTCAAGTCCAAAACAGCAAGCATGTGAAAGCTCGCTCTATTTGTTCATCTACTCCAGCTTACTTCAAATCCATTCTAAAACTCTCTTGGACCGAGACCTGGATTGGCCATGTCAGGACATTACTTGTGTTTTAAAGAGTAACTCCACTTTTGTTGTGAAAAAAAAATATTGCCCCCTGGGTGATCTATGTACATTGCAAGGGTTTTAACAAACTGTTGCAGATTTCTACCTTTTGTAGGAATAAAAAAAGCAGCTCAGGCTGTAAATTTCATCTTCAGCCCTGTTCACAATGACGCGGTGCAGGAAATGCAGCAAATCCTGTACGTTTCCTGCAACGCATTGCCATCGTACTGTGTCCATGCAATCTAGTACTGGTGTCAATGTTAAATTAACGACACCCCGAACCAGATTGCAAACACCCATGCGATGCGAATCAGGTGTGGGGAAAAAAAAAAGGATCCTACACCTTTTTGGCGTGGATGCGACGCAATTTCAGCTATACAAAAATGTATGGCTAAAATCGCACCGCACAGACATCGCATGGGATTTGCACAGGAATGCAGTGTAGTACATGTGATGTGCCACACCGCATCAGTGCAAAACTGGGCTCAATCCAAAGCAGTTTCAGCAGTAGCTTTCAACAAGGCAGACTAACAAAATACTATGAATGAAGTAATGGCCCCACACCCTAAGGGGCATTACCACATTGTCACCCATTCATAATGTAATAAAGAGGAGATGGGAATTAATGTCATGACGTCATTCTCTGCTAAAGAATAGCCCAATTGGCTTGCTACTGGTGGCTTTGCCTTCATCAGTCTTCTGCTAAAAAAACAGAGACTAGAACTTACATGAGCTGTAAAAAAAAAAAAAAAAAAAAAAAAATTAGATATTGGCTTTACACAGGTCAAGCTAAATTTTTTCCTAGTGTATTACTGGTAAATATAAAGTGATCTCTTTCGGCAAGTTGTGTAATTACCCTGCAAGCCAGTGTAAATGGTGTCATACTAGACTCCAATCTATCCTTCCAGTCCCAAGTCTAATCGCTAACAAACTCTTGGAGACTCCACCTCCGCAACATCGCCAAAATACGCTCATTCCTAACCCCAGATACTACTAAGCAGCTCATCCACTCCCTAATCATATCACGACTTGATTACTGCAACTCCCTCCTCACTGGCCTGCCTCACCACAGGCTATCCCTACTTCAGTCGATCCTGAATATGGCGGCCAGACTCATCCACCTTACCAACAGCTCCATTTCCGCCACCCCCCTCTGTCTCATGTATTGTCCCCCATTGTATTGTACAGCGCTGAGCGAACTGTTGTCGCTATATAAATCCTGTATAATAATAATAATTTAGAAACACTCACTGGAAGCTGTATACATAAATATCACAAGAGAACCTTCTTTGCATACACAAGCAGTGCATCTATGATCAGCATCAGAGCACAATGGTAGCATCCAAAAGGAACATCCACTAGTGTTCAACAGCCATTTAGCACAAGAATCAAGAAGATTTGTCAAGTATTGTAAAATAAACAGGTGACTACTATTTAGGTACTTTAAGGTGTGAACCACCATGGTAAAACTATATGTACGGAACACCCTATTAGTAAGGGGTATACAGTCATTATATTCCAGTCGACTGCAAATTAATGATTATTCTTCCTGGGTAAAAAGAGACACAGTTAAGGTTGTTTCTATAGCAACAAGACCCCAGCTGCCATTTTCAACTGCATACTGTAAAATGAAGGTTAGCACCTAAATGGCTGCTGTTAGCACCAGTTTTCTTTTGATCCGTAGTGGACTCTGAATGTTTTTAGCCAATGCAATTTTATCTATGCTTTGTTGTATGAGAATAGCTTGCCTGCTCTTATCCTGGAAATAAAACAAAACAGTCTAAAAGAAAACTTGCCTTTGGAGGGCAGCCCTCAAGACCGTGTGTGATTTGGAAATCAATTCAACCAGTCTTCTCCTTGTTGAACAGTCTAGCTGACATGCACTCAATAAATGCTATCTGATATTTGCATGAGGAGCTCATAAAAGGCTGCAAGAGGCACGCGCTCCTCCGAATGCTTGCCAAGAGACTCAACACAATGAAAATGTAATAGATATTCACGCAGAGAACTGTATATATTAGAGGCCTATCTTCAACCCTGCAGGAGCTCTACTAATCCCCAGATACATGGATGTAAAGGCAAACACGAAAGAAAAACATTCCAGATAACATTTACAGATTTATCATACTTTTACCAACACAGATATAAAAGTGTGTAATAAAATGTGCCATAATAAACCTAATCTGTAATACAGAACATTACCACACAGGATATTATTAGTGAATACCTTCATGTACAGCACATTCTGTTTGCTCATCTAAAAATTCTAGCTACTGAAGGACACCTTCATTATGACTCTGTTCTTCAAACAAAACACTAGCAAAGGGTGGAATAGCTAAGTGTGTGTGGGTGTGGGTCTACCCTGACACTGCGTGTGTGTCCCCTAATAGTGTGCATGTCCCAAAACTGAATGTTTGTGTCTGACATGAATGTCTGCCACTGAATGTGTGTGGGTGTGTCTGAATATGTGTTTAAATATATGTATGTGTGCCTGCTCTGATGATGGTGTGTGTGTATATGTGTGTGTGCGCGTCTGTCCCAACATTGTCTGTGTGCGTCTGCCCCAACGCTGCGTGCGCATGCATCTGCCCTGCTGCTGCATGTGTGTGTGTATCTGCCTTGATGCTGCACATGCGTGTCTGCCCCGACACTGCGCGTGTGTGTGCCTGCCCCAACGTTGTGCATGTCTGCCTGCTTGCCCTGACATGTGCACACACCTGCCTGGCGCTGCATGTGTGTGCCTGCCTGCCCCGGCGCTGCGTGGCTGTGTGCCTACCGCCAACGCTGCGTGTGTGCCTACATGCCCAGGCGTGTGTGCGCGCCTGCCCTGACGTGTGTGTGTGTGTGTGTGTGCGTGCGGCTGCCCTGACATGTGCGTGCGGCTGCCCTGACGTGTGCGTGTGTGCTGCCCTGACGTGTGCGTGTGCCCTGACGTGGTATGTGCCTGCCCTGACATTCTTTCCTTCGACCTGTGCTGCAAGGAAAGAAAATTAAATAATTTATTGCTTGCCTTAGGATTGTTTTCTTATATAACCTATTTTTTGTTTTCCTTCTGAATATCTAGTTCCTCGTTCTGTGAAGTGATGCCACTACAACAATCACCACTACAAGGGTAAGAATCACTTCTTTTCTTTTTGTTAAACTTGATGAACTCTACCTTATGAAACAGTGTCCAAACGTTGTGCCAAAATGAAATATGCATGTCATGGCCCAGGAAGGAACGCAAATGTTGGGTCAATCTCTACTGATACAGATTTTTCCATTTACCAACCAGGAAAGGCTGCATGGGCCATCTGCCATTTCAAATGCAGTACATGGAAAGATGGCAATTCAACAGAGAATTCTAGGTAATGTTCAATAAGTAGAAATGAAGAATGGTGGTTTTCTGCAGTTCTGTACATAGATGTAATCAAGTTTTTGGACTTGCCCATGAGTTTGCTGTGGTGCTCAAAACAGATTATGGATTTTCAGTTTTCCTTAATGAAAGAGAAAACTTGTACATATTGTCACTGACTTGTCATTTAGGAATAATTGATGTTTCCATTCCTGTAAGTTTCCAGCTGGCTGTGTAATTAAATAACCTTCCTTTACTCCTGTGACAATAATTATGCCCACACAAGCAGTCCAGCCATCCTTTATACTGCAATGTCTAATAAATCAATGTTTGCATTGCTCATTATATCATGATAATCTACAGCAATGATGAAGAGACATGGTTTCGTTATGTGACTGACAGATGCCCAATATGCCAAAAAAGGTCCAGAGAACTACACTAGGAAGATGGGAGAATGAGGTGGATGATAAAGTAGCAATAAATCCTCACCAAGTAGTTAATGGGGGAGATTTATGAAAACTGGAGAGTACAAAATCTGTTGCAGCTCTTCACAGAAACCAATCAGCTACCATGTTTTTATTGTCAAAGCTTAACGGAATAAGCTAACGTTAGACCCTAATTGGTTACTGTGCACATCTGTACCAGATTCTTAATGCTCCAGTTTTAGTAAATCTCCTCCAATGTCTCCCCTTTGGATCAACTTTTCTAACTGCACTTTCAGGTTCTTTTTTCAAATATCACCTTGCTGTCACCCCCATCCAGCACTTACGGAGATTCTGTCTGAGGAGCATGCACGGAATTACCACTTGACCTTCTGCCACAGGGACTGTATGATCCCTTGCGTGATTCTTTTACAGCACGAGTGTTAATTTTGTCCACAAAATATTACGTCATAGTTTTCGTCAGTTGC